TTACATTTTTATAATCTCAATTTCTTTTTTATTCTCACCCAGGGACATTTTTTAAACACTACTTTTAGCGGGAGAGGGGGAGAGAGAAACATTGATGTAAGAGACAAGCATTGATTGGCTGTGTCTCATATACACCTGCTGAGGAACAGAATCCATAATCTAGGCACATGCGCTGACTGGAAATCAAACCCACAACCCTTCGGTTACAGGACAAAGCTCCGAGTCACAAGGGCCAGGGCTGTGATCTCAAATCTTAAGTCACTGTATGTTAATCTGCATGTCAAATCATTACAAATGAAAACTATCACAGAAAAAGCTGTAGATACGATCTCTTTGTTATATTTTGTAGCTACATATTTCAGACTACGAACTAGGACAAATTCCTCTTTGGTTCGGGTGTGTAACTCATTATTGAGCTGTAAGAGTTTTTTATTTTACGTACAAGAACTTTGCCAGATATGTGTATTGCAAATATTTCCCCTTAGTTCGTGGCTTTTTTTTTTCATTTTTTTTCTTAAGTATCTTTTTGTTTCATTTTAACTTTTTTCATTGAAATATAATTTATATACAATAAAATGTATATATCTCATATGTTCAGTGTAATGAGTTTTGACAGGTATATATGCTATGAAACCAACACCCAAAACAAGATCTGCAATGTGTCCATCTTCTCAGGGAGTTCCTTCATGCCTCTTTCTAGTCTGTTCTGTCCCTCTCACAGGCAACAACTTTCTGACTTTTGTCACTAAAGATCAGTTTTTTGCCTACTCTTAGTATTTCATAAAAATGGAATCTTACAGTGTACTTTTAAATGTCTTTGGCTTTTTTCACTGAAGATAAATGTTCTTGCAATTTATCCATGTTGTTTTGCATACCAGTAATTCATTGTTTTATTACTAAGTTGTATTCTATCGTATGAATATAAAACAATTTGCTCATTCTCTGGATGAATTATTTGAGATGCTTCCAGTTTTGTGCTCTCATTAATAAGGTTGCTATGAGCATTCTGGTACAAGTTTTGTTTTGGACATGTGTTTTCATTTCTTTTGGTTAAAAATATGGAGGAATAAAATTGCTGGGTCATAGGGAAGATGAATTTGTAAAGACCAAGAGGTTGTACCATTTTTTATTCCTACTAGCGATGTATAAGAATTTCAGTTGTTCTACATTCTTGCACCATTCCATGTTATCAATTTTTATTTTAGTTATTCTCATGAATATTCTATTGAATATTCTAGTGAGTAGTATCCTATGGTTTTAATTTTGTATATCCCAAAGACTAGTGATATTGAGCACCTGTCATGTTTATTGGCCATTTGTGTATCTCCTTTTAGAAAGTATCTACTCTAATCTTTTGCACATTTTTAGGATTTTTCTATCATTTTACTATTTATTTGTAGATTTTTATATTCTGGACATGAATTTTGTTGCCAGATAATGTGTTAAGAAATATTTTTTCCCAAATTATAGCCTGCCTTTTCATTTTCATAATGGTATCTTTTGATGAGCAGAGATTTAATGATTTTTGTTTTCTGTCCAAGAAATATTTGCCTACTTCAAATTTGCATAGATACTCTTCTGTGTTTTTTTAGAAGTTTTGTAACTCTGGACTTAAGGTCTATATATAGGTCTACAATCCATAAGCACCTTTTGTGTATGGAACTAATTCATTTTCCCCACTATGTTTACCCAGGTACCAGTTTTATCCAATTGTTCCAGAACCAACTGTTTAAAAAAAAATGTCCCTTTTCCACTGAATTGATTTGTGGATCTATATTTAGACTCTTCATTCTGTATCATTGGTCTAATTGTCTAGCCTGTGTCAATACCACACTGCCTGAGATTTAGAGTAAATCTTGAAATCAGTAGAGTAAGTCCTCCAACTTTGTTGTTTTTTTCAAAATTGTTCTGGGTTTTTAAGTCTTTTATATTTTCATGTAAATTTTAGAATCTGCTTGTCAATTTCCACAAAAATGCCTGCTAGGAGTTTTTTGGGGGTTTGCACTGAATCCACAGATCCATTTGGGGATACCTTAATTTTGACTCTTCTACTTCATGAACATGGTGTATCTCTCCACCATTTATTTAGGTCTTCTATAATTTCTCTCAGTATTGTTTTGTAGTGAAGAAATCGACTCCTTTTGCTAAATTTGTTCCTAAGTATTTCATGTTTTTTAATGATAGTGTAAATGAAACTGAGTAAGTTCATTTTTAAAATAACATCTAGCTATTTTTAGATGTTTTCCTAGTGACTTTTCCCCTTAGTGACTTTTTTTCTCTAGTGACTTTAAGAAAGTTTATTACAAAAGTGGTAAATTATATTTTAAAGAGTTAAAGAATATAGATAAGTGAAAATAAGAAAAACACTCTCTTTCCATTACTAAGAATACCACCATTAATATCTATGTCTTTATACACAAAAACATCCGTATATGATTGTTCACCAAATGATATCATATAGGCTGTTTTATAATTTGCTTTTTAAAAAAATTAACCTCTTCCTTTCATGTTAGTACTGTTTCTATCTAAAATACAGTCCATACTCAAGTTTTCCAGACTATTTCAAAATGTGCTTTACAACTGTTTATTGAAATCAGATAATCAGTGCAAAAACATGAATTGCATCTGTCATATTCTTTTAATCTAACATAATCAGATATCGTGATTTCTACTATGATGGCTAGAACTTATTTAACTATAAAGCATGTTGTAAAGGCCCATGTAAAGATAATTTTTCCTCAAATAAATACATTATTTTAAAGAAGAAGTTAGCTTTTAACTGGTATTGACCCTGTGATGTTAGGAGAACTAGTGATTTAAATACAATGAAATTAAGGAGAATAATAATCTCTGAAAAATAATTAATTATTTATATACAACACAGTCATGCTGCTTAACAATGGGGATGCAGTCTGAGAAATGTGTCATCAGGCGATTTTGTTGTTGTGCAAACACCAGAGTGTACTTACACAAACCTAGATGGTTCAGCCTACTACTGTAATTGTATGTTCTATGTTATATGACTGGCAAAGCACTAGGTTTGTTTACACCAGCATTACCACAAACATGAGAATAATTTGTTGTGTTATTGACTTTATGAGGGCTACATCACTACATGACAGGAATTTTTCTTTTTTTAGTTCCTTGGTTTGTAAGGAATTTTTCAGCTCCATAATAATCTAATGGGACCACCATGATATATGTGGTTGTTGTTGTTGACCAAAATGTTGTTCTGTGGCACAGGACAGTATTCTTCCAGATAATGTACATGTTATTTCTCCATATTTTCTTAGGGACAAACATATATTTGAGGAAGAAGCCAATAAAAAAGTTTTAATTCCCTTACTTATTTTAAAGATATCAATAAAAGTTACCAAGATTTTCAAATGAGTCAGAGAATAAATGTTTAAAAAAAATGAATGTGGTTAAATATCATGAATCAGGGAGAGATCTCAAATGGTCATACATTTTAACATATGAAACAGTACGCATAACCGTCAAAATTCCCTTAAAACAACAAACAGGTAGGAAGATAAACAACCCTGTAAACTAGGTAAGGTTCTGTATACACTACAGGAACCACAGAAAGGGTAAAGTACTTCTGTAGTCTAATAATTCATTAAGAGATAGAGGCAAATAGTGGTTGATTGATCCTTGAAGAAGAAAGACACTTTAGTGACAGAAATTTTTCTGTCACAACGATGAAGCCCAATGGTGGCGCTACTATTGTCTTTCTCAAAAGAGAGGTTAATTGGTATCCTCCAAGACATCAACAGAAGAGAGAAACGGAATCCTTTCTTACCAGCCCAGCCATTTCCTAGCCCTTTCTTTTGTAGCAATTATTTCTAAAACCTAACACTGAATTATTCTTATTTTTTTAGTGTTCTTCATTCTTCCTAATGCACTGTCTATTTAATAATGAGATTATGGCAAAGGTTCTTAGCCTGGCTTCAACATATCAATAAATCTCTTGAAACTACATAAAGAATGCTGTTGGTGCATTCTTCTAGTGAATACCGTTTAACAGGTTCTCAACGGGGGTCCATAAGATTAAGAACCACTAAGACGGACAGGTAGCTAGACTGGTAGTTTTTCTAGTATATGCTATTTAAGGTACAAAAACATTGTCAACTTTGCCCTGGCCAGAGTGGCTCAGTTGGTTGGAGCATCAACCCATAACTGAAGGATTGTGGGTTTCATTCCCAGTCAGGGCACATACCTCAGTTGCAGGTTCAATCCCCATTCTGGGCACTTATGATCCCTGCTTAGGGTGTGTACAGGAGGCAACTGATTGATGCTTCTCTTTCATGTTTATGTCTCTCTCCCTTCTCTCCCTTCCGCTCTAAAAGCAATGAAAAAATGTCCTCGGGTGAGGATAAAAAAAATTACTGCCAACTTTAATTTATAATGAATAATAGGCACTTAAAAAATAATTCGCTTTGAAATGTAGGAGATGTATTTTCTAAAAGTATTTTTCAAATTGCAAATTGTGACCCATTAGTGTCAATCATTTAAAAAATATTTACTACATATTAAAATTATTTATTTTAATGGAACATAACTAAGAATTGATGACTCCAAACAAGCAACAGCAGTAACTAACAACAATCAACAGGCTCAGAGACTCTGATAAGTACGTGACTGTCACATTGCATATACAGTTATAAAAAGTGTTTTTTGTGGTTGAATCAACCAGTATAGTAATAGTGTTATGATAATTTAAAAGAAATTTACCTATACTATAGTCTGGGTTCAGGGTATTAAAAAGCAAAAAAACTGAGGAAAAAGGATATAGATGTATTCTCATAACAACATGCTAATTTCAGTAACCAGGCAGGCAGGATCAACTTGAAAGTTAATTGTGTCAGCTCACTCTAAACAAATATTGGCAGGTAGTATATACTGGCTCTCAGAAGTCAAAGATTCTATGGTCATCAAATGGTTGATGAGACAATGAAGGCTTGGCAAGAATTTGTGGCCCTTTATGAGCCATGACTTACCTTTATGGACTGACACCGGTACAGGAATCGTGCTCCTGACACATGAGCTTGTGGGTTGGACTGGAAGCCTATATTTGCCCACAATACCTGGATCTCCAGGGAAACTGGTATGACACAACAAGAAGTGCAATGTGTAGCCTGCAGAAGAGTAAAGAAGCATCTGCTTGAATTGCTGATAGTGGCCTATAACCAGTCGTCATGCAATATGTAGCCATTGTTTCTTAAACATTGTACAATAACAGAGAAGGCAATGTGGCTTAGAGAACACAAAAGTTCACCATAAGCCAAATTATTGTCCTTGATCTTAGGAAAATTAATATTCTAAAATGGAAATTGCTAATACAGAGATTATAAAATGTGAGCCCATTTACAGAGGTTATAAGAAGTGCTCAGTGAGTGGTGCATAGTCAGTATTGCGGAATGCTAGAAGAACGAACAGCCATTTCTGGTTGAAGATGGAACTGAGATGAGTAATATGTGACTGGAAAAATGATGATTAAAGGAAAATTCAGGTAGAGAGAAAGCATATAAAAAGGTACACAACTAGAAAAGCACATGATGTCATGGAGGGACATTCACTGATTAATGTGAATAATAGTTACTGAGTGCCTCCTATGTGCTTGGCACGTACCAGGCAATGGCCTTGAGCAGACACTTGACTGGAACAAAGGTCCTGAACATAGGAACAGCACAAGATTAAGGAGGAAGACATTTCAGTATTAGAGTGTGAAGTCCAACTATGTGGTCTGATCCTAGGAGGATTAATTTCATAATGCAGGAAGGCCTGATGGAAGTGAGGACTTGATTCAGAAGGTTACTATAACTTAGCAGATACAAAATATCCTCAGATATGCTTTGTGCTTTTCTAGCTTCACACTTTTTTACAGTAAGGCTCAGATACAGGCAATAACATGTATAAACTAGGAATAGGAAAAAACGGGCCATGTTTATGTTTATTAAGGAAACTGTCAAACTGTTTCCCAAGTGGCTCACCATTCTGCAGTCCCAACAATGTCTGAGGGTTCCAATATCTCCACATCCTTGCCAACACCTGTTTTCTGTCTTTTTAATTATAGCCATCCTAGTGGGTGTGAAGTGGTATCTCATCATGGTTTTGCAATTCTTTATGGCTAATAATGTTGAACGTCTTTTATTGAGTTTGTTCTAAATACTTTTAAACATTTTTCTTTTCCTTTACATTAGGAACATTTTTCCATGTTGTCAAATTTCTTTGAAAATGTGATTTAAAAATGTAAACTTGAGAATAATAAAGAGTAGTTCCACTATAATCTCAATCCAGCTCCTTCCTATATTCAGCCATGTAGCACCCAAAATCTACACTCCCTCAGTGGATTTTAAGAAATTATTTTGAAGTTTAAGAAAACTCAATTTAACTTCAGTTGCCTAAAGGCTGGATCAAGAGCCTGTGTTTACTTATCCCCCAAATCTCCTTAAACAGAAAGATGTCATTATAGTGCTGAGAAAGGGTAAAATGGTACTTTAAAAATAATCTCAAAGGGGAAATGTTTTTCAAAGTCTGAACTAAGATTCCAAGGTTAAAAAAAAAAAGGTTGATAAATTTCACAACATAAAAATCAGCTTCTGCATGGCAAAAAAACACCATAAATAAAGTCAAAAGACAAATGACAAACTAGGAAAAAATATCTGCAATTCAGACCACTAGAAAGAGCAGATTTCTCAAATACATAAAGATTTCCTATAAGTGATAAGACCAGTAATTCAATCAAAATGGACAAAGGATATAAATAGATTAAAGTGAAGAAAATATAAATTGTTCAACCATATGTCAAGTTACTCAACCTTATTAATAGAGAAAAATAAAACTACACTAGGATGCACTACACTCATTTTCACTTATCATATGAGCAAAGATTAAAAAATTTGAAAACACAGTACTGATGAAGGTATGGGGTAACAAGCAGTCTCATAGATGGATGGTAGGACTGCAAATTAGTACAGGCTGTATAGAGAATTAATTGGCACTACTTAGTAAAATTTTAAATGTACATACCCTTTGACCTAGAAATTCTACTTCTAGGATTTATCATAAAAGTTTATTCTCCCATGTATGAAATGGTACCTGAATGAGGTTATAAAATGCCACATTGTATATAACAGGAAAAGAATGAAAATGACCTGAGTGTCCACAAATAAAATGGGTTAAATTTATGGTCCACCCATATAATGGAATATTATGCAATTATACTATGCAAAGAATGGGGGAGCTTATTATGTAAAAAGTGAAAAAAGCAAGGTGTAGAACAGTGTTTATATTATATTATTTGGATAAAAAAAGAATATAAGAGTATCTACTTACATAGCATGCATTATCTATGGAAGGAAAAAACTAGTAACTCTAATTGCCACTGTGGAAGGGAAGAGCTGCCTGGGAGAGATATTTTTATTTTGTACTTTTTGCATTTCAAGCTAAGTGTATGTATTTCTTATACAGAAAAATAGATCATTTAATTTATTAAATAAAAAGAAATAAAATTAAAGGCATAGCTGACTAAAGTGAGGTAGAGGGTAGGCAAAAGAGGAAGAAGACATAACAGCACAGCAGACTCCTTACTTTAGAGGGGAGTCAAGAGACACACCTGCTGTGCATTGATCTAACAGATTAACAGAAACAGCTGGATGAGGTTATTCCTGGGGCAGGGGATGTTGAGGTTTTTACTTTTCATTTAATACCATTCTACATGGTTTGAATTTTTGACCTCACAATGTCTTTTCATTAAATGTAAATGTAAAAACATAGATTTTTTTTTTTTAAACAACCAAAAGAACACAATTTCAACCTCCAAGAAAGAATCTGGACTGACCAAATATTTATAATTATAAGAGAATATTTGAAATACATATGAAATATACTTAATTTAGTTTTCTCTTACTATGAGTAAGGTTGATTTTGAACCACAGAGCAATCTCTAGATTTTCTACCTTCAAATTTTTCTCCTCATAAGGAAAATAAGTTAGATATAAACCTAACCTGAAATAAAGACATCAAATGGGTATGATTTCTTACATTCTTATGACAACCACATAATCTTCCTTCTACAATAACCATATTATCTATGGAAATAGGGCTGGTTTTCATTTCAAAATTCACAACAAAACAGGGAAGTGTCAGTCAGACAGTATTTTTCTCCTTACTGAAACACTGCAGTTCCTGCTGAGGATCCTGGTCCAGTCTTCCTTCTGGGTTGGGTCAGCATTACCAAAGATGGCAACATGCTCTGGTCTGGGCCTTCCATGAAGAGTCTGATACATCTCTTGCTGCAAGTGGCTGCAGCCCACCTTTTGCAGCCTGAAATTAAATAACATGGAGCCTGGAGTCCAACGCTAATACAATAGTATAACCATGTTAGTATATTAATCCACACATTAGAAATAGTAATATAAAATAAATTGTAGTAAAATAATCCTCAGGAAGTTTAGAGGACTGTCAGAAAACTCTTTTAAGATTTTATATATTTTTAGGCAGGGGGAAGGGAGGGAGAAAGACAGGGAGAGAAACATCAATGTGTGGTTGCCACTCACATGCCCCGTGCTAGGGATCTGGCCTCCAACCCAGACCTGTGCCCTGACTGGGAATTGAACCAGCGACCCCTTGGTTCGCAGGCCAGCGCTCAATCCACTTAGCCACATCAGCCAGGGCAGAAAACCCTTAGCAATGCTAATATTATTTAGATTATAAGACAATTTCCAATTAACAATCTCTGAACTCTCATTCAAAATATGAAAGTTGCCATATCAACATAATCCCTAGATAGAGAAAAAAATTGTGGGAAATGATGTGGAAGGAATGAATTACCTCAGCTTGCACCCAGACATTGCATTCACTCCAAACTGTACTTCACGTCTCCTAACAGAGCACGTTCCATCACCCTTGCTCTGTAAAAGGGTCATCTGAGGTGAAAAGTGATAGTTAAGGAGATCATAACAGAAATAAGAGATAGAATGGAACATTTATGTTCTTATTGTTTCCTTAACACTTATTTTATTAATATCATGGTATCATTCAAGTCACAATTTGTTTCCTTTTTCTAGTAATTAAAAAACAGGTGTTTTTCCAAAAATGGTTAACCACATGCTAGCATATAAATACCTCATTAAAGCAAAAATCAGTCAATCTTCACTTTTGGCCAGTCTAACATAAGTTTGAAAGCCTTTGGTCGCATCAACATTTGAAAACATAGTCTATGAATAGCCTGTTAAGGAAATCCTGGATACCTAAAAAATGGGGCAACCACAGACTTGGAAAATCCAAGAGATCAGCAGCTCAGCTTTTCCCATTAGGCCGCAACAGGCCACTCAGCTCTGAAAAGGATACGGAGTGACTTACGTCATCAGTTAGAGCCAAGAGTGGTTTCCCGACAATATAGCCAGGATTCCCACTTCTAGGACCAGGAAGAGAAGCAGCTGTGCTCTGAAAAGCCTGCAGAAAGAGTCAAAGAAGGTCACTTACGGAGAAAAGCATGCTGTCACACCTTCCACTGCTTGGTTTCACTCTCTCCCTTAAAACAATGTGGTAAGTTAGCTGCGGTGGACAATCTGGCTTCTTTTAACAGTGTAAGATTTTGCAAAAATTTCTAATCTAGTGACTGCCCCCCTGTGAAGTAAATCCTAAATGATCTAAATATTGAAATTCACTATATGCTACTTCTACCAAGGGTTACAAATAAGGATCTTATCAACCCTGTTTCTCAAAAATTACTATCAATTTAGGGCTATGTTCAGCCTGGTTGAAATGAGAGGAATTTAAATGTAATTTATAAATATATTTTAATTGACTATAGATGTTCCAGAGATGAACTCTGAGAGGCAGGAGAGTTGACTGATCACTTGAAGGCAGAGTTGAGAAGAAACTAGACTCGACAAGATTCAAAAAGAAGGAAGTAGAAGAAAGCCAAAGACTAAAGTGATCAAGGTTGGAAGCTTAGATTAACTGGGGAATGAATAAAACACTGAATGCCATCACACTGTATTTTTTAACCAACATTCACAAATGTACATATACAAAAATTCATGTTAATTGTAAGCACATAAGCTCAAATAATATAGAAATATAAAGAGTAAAAGTGAAAAAAAGTATGCTAAATGTCCAGGAATATGAGAAAAGCTAGTTAAAGAACTTCTGTGGGATGATGGCTGAGTTTATGATTCAAAGTGATTAATTAAAAAAAGAATTTGGGTTTGAGATTGAAGTCCTGCTATGTTGGGGGCCAGACAGAGAATCAGAGAAAATGTTAATAGATAAACTGTTGAATGCCTATCACTACTCAATTACGGAATTTTAAACATTGAGGCCTCTTGCACAGTGAACACCCAAGCGTGCTTTATAGTTCCCGTGGCTCGGAGTTTGTGCTAAAGCAACGTCTCTTCTTTTCCTCTGCATTGAAAGGACTATTTACCTTTTTAAATGAATTCAGAAAGTCAGCATATTATTTAGTAAAAAAATGTTGGGCTTGAACTGACAGACTCAACTAGGCCTTCATACGCTCATTCTACTTCACGTGTGTTACAGACAGAGGAACTATTTCTAACCCAGTATCTCTTCCCCCTTCATCCCCACAGAAGAAGGGCCCTAACCCTGAAGCGAATGATGAAGTGTTGCTGTAAGGAAGTGCCTGGCTCAACAGTCAGGTTGGTTTGTCCGAAACTGACAGAGACTTTCTGGATTCCAAAAGTTCCATTGGTCTCTATCTCATAAATGACCTGAAATACAAAAGTACAATCAATTAATAAAAATTACTTAGTGGGTCAATTATATTTAATTTAAATTTTCTGTCTTCGAGGGTTTTATTATAAATGAATGACAGTACAGCATAGTGACTGCAGTTAACAATATTGTATATTTGAAAGTTGATAAAAGAGTAGATCTTGAAAGTTCTCATTGCAAGAAAAATTTGTGACTGTGTAGTGATGGTTGTTAACTAAACTTGTTGTGGTAATCATTTTGCTATATACACGTGTGGTCAAAAGTAGGTTTACAGTCCTGGCTAGGTGGCTAAGTTGGTTGGAGTGTCGTCCCATATACCAAAAGGTTGTGGGTTTGATTCCCAGTCAGGGTGCATACCTAGGCTGAGGATTCAATCCCTGGACAGAGCGCGTGTAGGAGGCAACCAATGGGTGTTTCTCTCCAACATCAATGTTTCTCTCTGTCTCTCCCCGCCTCACCCCCTGCTTCTTCTCTCTCTAAGGTCAATGAACACATCCTTGGGTGAGGATTTAAACAAAAATAGGTTTACAATTGTATGTAAAACAATTTATTCTTATATTATTTATTATTGAAACTGTAAACCTACTTTTGCTCACTCTGTAAATATGTCAAATCATATTGTACCTCTTAAACTAATATGATATTATATATCAATTATATCTCAATTAAAAATATAGCTGAATGAGGGAAAATAAACAAGTAGTCTTAAAAATGCCAAACACAAATACTATGAAAAGATAAAGTTGACCTCATCTTATACCTACACATTAAAAAGAGAATGAATAGGGCTATTTGAAAAGTTTCATGGAAGAAGTGAGTTTATAGTAAGAATTGAAAGAGAAGAAAAAATAAGTTTTGATTGTGGGCAGGGGCAGGCAAGAAGCAGCACAGGCAGGTGAGCATGGAATGAAAACTTTGCTTACTTGGCTCTCCCCCTATCTGAAAATGAGTAAAGACAGTAGCTGGAGATAGAAGTTATAAGCCATTGAAGTCATCCTTAGATTTCTGAAAATTATGCTTTAAGATAATTCTTACTTCTGTAGGTTAAATAGGAGAGAGAGAATAGAAGAAAAGTTGATTAGTCTGTTTCAGATTTTCAGATGATACTGACTTCGTCAACAGAGGAAAATGTGGTAAGAACCGACACAGACCCCATATGAATAAAGAAAAAGGAGTCAGAAATACTCCTACTGTTCTCAATATGCAATACTGGAGGACAGTATAGCATTGCAAACAACTGAAACATGGTAAGGAAGAAGGCTCAACTCTTCATGTGCTGACTTTCGCCTAATGCACAAAAACTCATGTGGGGTTGGTGTGGTACTTAATAGAAGATGGTGCACCTCTGGTAATAGTAATCAAGGTACTTCAATCCAGAATCTGAAGTCAGCATCCCTACCTGGGAAACCACATTCTGACAAGTGTTTCCAGCCAACAGCGGAGAATCAGCCTGTGAGACAAGTGTTACAGGAACCTGGAACTAGCAAGGGAAAGAAGCAAATCAACTAAAATTGAAAGTAGCATTGTCTGTTCTAGCTATATATCATGCTGAATATTTTCATTTTGACCATCAACTTTCTCCTTCCAATGCTAGCCTGTAACTTAGTCATCTTAAGTCAGCATGTCTCAAAACATATTTCTCAGAATGTTAATTCTATTAGATATAAAATTAAGCTTCCATGGTCAAATAAGTTTTAGAAATACTGTATTCGATCCCTATCTCTTAGAGATTAGCAAGGCCCTCACGCATATTAAATACCCTAAGATGTCTACTCTAAATGTAGTGTTTAACTTTTTTTAACTAAATATTTCCCAAACTTACCTAACACCTTTTGAATGCACATGATGCTTACTAATCATATATAACACAAATGGGAAACATTGTTTCAGATTCACATTTAACTTTCTGATACATCACAAATACATTTCTTTCACCACTACAATCTAGATTGAAACTGCCTCAGATGCAAAGGGACCAAATATTCTCTTTACTTTTTCCTGATAAACAGCATCGTACCTTCATATTTTGCAGATCAGTCATACCTCTTGGAACCTAAATAAGAGAAAAGCAAGAAAATGATATGCATATACCTTCGAGAAAATCTCCAGAAGCTTGTGGTTTCACATTTGGAGGGGTGGGAAAAATCAACATGTTAGAATCATTTGCTTCCTTTCTTCTATTTGACTCTTCTTTACACCACAATGTCATGAGCAAAGCTGAGGGGAGGTTGGATGGACTGCAATGCCCACCTACTCTAAGCAAAGCTCTACTGAATAGCAAAAGCAAGTTTTGGTGAAATAGTGAGGTGTCACCCCTCACCCCTCCCTAAGCCAATCCCATTAGCCAGGAGGTTGAAAATCTCTTATCATGACTATACAGCCCTAATTTTTTTCACCTTTCTTGAGATAACAGGGTTTCCAAGCTCTCTGCTTTTTATGTAGCTCTTGGGCATTCTGACTTCCAGTTTAGTGCTTTTCCCACAACCCAGCAGTGGGAAGCGTGCTGACTTCAGACCCACAGTAGTGCCAGAGGGGAGAGAAGGGACACCCACCTTCAAGACTGTGAAGCTATAGTAAGAGGCAGCATTGAGGGCTGGATCCAATGTGCAGGTGTTAGCCAGGTTCTTGAAGAAACGGGCACAGGTTGTACTTTTACTTTTCAAGAAGCCTTAGAGCACAAAGAATTAAGGAGGTAGTAAATGAGAAAGCCTATTTTAACTCAAACCAAAAGGCTGGCACTTCTGCTCCAGACTCACCTGCAGGATTGCCCTCGGTACAGAGTCCCCCGGCCCCAAGTCCTGCAGGCTGCTTCAGTAAGCTTACTAGAGACCACTTGGAGAAGTAAGTCAAAATGGGGTCGCCAGCCTGAACAAAGTATAGCAGAAATACGTTCACAGTGAGACTGGAATGAGTCCACCAGAAAATTTACAAAAAAGGAGAAAAGAAAATTAACTCAACAGCTTGTTAATGTGGACAACACTGCCCTCCAAAAGAACTGACAACGGTTTACCTAACTGCAGCCAGACACCTCAAAGATACCCAGTCAGTCAATGGTCGGTTATGAGGGAAAAGTCAAACCAAACAATCCCATCTTCTTCCCCAGGCTCACCCTGTAAAAAGGTTGTGGCGACTCGGTTTGGAATGTAGAAGTGAATGATTTGCCTCCAAACTCTGTAGCCAGTGCCTGGAAGTTGGATGCATTGACTTTTTGGAGTTCCTGGAAATAGTTTAATTTTGCTAAAATGTTTGGAAAAAGAAAAGGAGTTTAAATAAAAGAAAAACATTTATTTTTAAATATGTCGCATGCCAAGTAAGTAAGATTTTTATTGAGGCATAACATATACACAGTAAGGTTAAGTATACAAATGTACTAATTTTAAGCATAAACTCAAAAGAATTTTTCCAAATTTATATACTTTTATTGCTACTACTCAGATTAAGTTATGGAACATTTTCCTAGAAAGTTTCCAATCAATGTTCCATCCTCAGAGATAACAATAATTCTTTTTTCTATCACATTCTAATTCATTTGTAATCTATTAAATGAATTATTGCTTTAGCATTAAGATCTGAGATAAGAATATGGCCAATACTATGGAAAACAGTATGGCAGTTCCTCAAAAAATTAAGAATACAGTTACCGCACAAGCCAGCAACCCCTCTTCTGGGTATCTATCCAAAAAATTTGAAAATATTTATTTGAAAAAGATATATGTACCCCCATCTTCATCAAAGCATTATTCACAGTGGCCAAGACACAGAAACAACCACAGTGTCCTTCGATAGGTGATTAGATAAAGATGTGGTACATATATACAGTGGAATACTACTCAGCCATAAGAAAAGATGAAATACAGTCATTTGTGACAACATGGATGGATCCTGAGAATTTTGTGCTAAGCAAAGTAAGTCAGATGGAGAAAGTCAAGAACCATATGATTTCACTCATGCGTGAGATATAAAACTGAAAGGAAAAAATGAACAAACAAACAAGATAAAAAACAAAAACTCACAGACACCAACAACAGTACGGTGGTTACCAGAGGGAAAAGGAGGTGGGGGGATAACAAAGGGTACAGGGGGCCAAGTATATGGTGACAAGAGATCTGCCTTTGAGTGGTGAACACACAATGTAATATACAGATGATTATATGTAGAATTGTACACTTGAAACCTATATAATTTTATTAACCAGTGTCACCCCAGTTAAATAAATAATTTTTAAAATGGTGTAAATATATCACCTAGCTGTCTTATCTACATAATTAAAAATCGCGAAAACAGGGGGGAAAAAAAGAATATGACCTATGAATTCTAGTTCCAACTCTGATGAGAGGAATGTGCATGATGAGCAAGTTGTGATGAAAACAGAAGGCTCAACAACGTTAACATTTGCCTCACACTAGATGAGGCTCTAGTACAACAAAATGGTACTGTTTCTATAGGAACATGGCAAAGTCGGAAACAATATTTGATTTGTCCTCAAATCTTCCTGTTCCCTCTAAACTTCAACTGACCAGTCCTAATAAGAACGTTTCCATCTCTCAAGTATATTGATTTGTCATATTTTATTCTTTTCACCTTATAATTTCTACATTCAAAACTTCAGACACTCTGAAGGGGTACTTTCTCTAACAATTCTATAATCTATATCATAGCAATGCACAAATCTATCCAAGCTGCTGCAGCCACCTCCTTATGGCACTTCAGAACCAGGAGGGAGATGTAGGAAAAGGCCCCTGGCACTGTCCCCTGCCCAGAGGGTGGCCAGTAATGGGTAATACTCTGCTTTACCATCCAAGTCTTGTTAACTTGAAAAAGAAACATAGCAGAAACACGCCCCATGCCAAATCCTTTAATTTTTCATATAAGTGTGGTCATTTGGACAGATTTAAAAAGGTATCAAGATCTTCATGACTGAAAGCTAATGAGAATTCCGTGTAACAAAAGTCTGACCTTTATCCTCTGCAATCAATCTTAGTTATTACGTTTCAGCTTTCTGATACAGCATGAAAAGAATACAAGTCTCAATTTTGGGGACTTCCAGACTATTCATTCTCTCTTTATCTCCTAGACCCTTGCTACTCAAAGTGTGGTGCACAGACTAGCTGCCCCAGCATCACCTGAAAGTTTGCCAGAAATTCAGAATCTTAAGCCACTCCCCCAGAAATAGTGAGTTAGAATCTGCATGTTAACAAGCTCTCCAGGTGATGTGCATGATTTTAGTTTTAAAACCATTGCCCTGGAACATGTAATGCTGATGCTGATGGTTTGCAGACCACCGCCTTTGACCTCTGATCTGAATCTTCAAACTTGAAAGCTTCTAGGAGCTGTTTAACATTTCCCTCGGAACTCACACCCTGAAAACCACATGGAAGAAATACCTCACATAAAATGCAGTTATTTCTACCCTTATAAACGAAAGAAAAGTTAAAGTTAAGCTAAGAAAGAAGATAAGCTGAGATTAAATATCTACCTGGCTATTTTTTCATGGCTTAAAAAAGTAACAGCATGGATGGAACTGGAGAGCATCATGCTAAGCGAAATAAGCCAGGGGGCGAAAGACAAATACCATATGATCTCACCTAGAAGCGGAACCTAACCAACAATACAAAGATGCAAGGAAAATAAGACCAGCAACACTGAAAGGAAAAGAAATCAACAGAGACAAGAGGGAAGGAGGGAGTGGGGGCGGGGACAAGGAAGGGAAGGGGCAAGTCAAGGAACATATAGCAAGGACTCACGGACAAAACCAAAGGGGAAGAGCTGAGGGAGGGAAGGAGGGAGGGGGCAAGGGAAAGTGGTGGGGGGTTGGCAGAGACAAATGTACTTGAAAAAATAAATTAAAATTAAAAAAAATAAGTAAGAGATAACATTTTGTCTTTCACAATAGTACAGGGATATTGGTGGTAAGCAGGGACAATGTAGATAAGGATAATAAGTAGAGTTTTTGTCTAAAACTCTAAAATTTTTGCCTAAAAATTACTACCATCATACATGGTATGCATTACATCAAACAGGGCTTAAAGGTATTTAGATTTAAATTGATACAATTCCAGATGTAGAAGAAAGTCTAGAAACCATGAGGCCCAATCCCAAAAGGAAATTTGGATCCTAAGATGAAGATGAGTTGCACAAGGCCACAAAGACACCTGGCAGAGGCAGGACTGAATCTCGCATCTCCTGATTCCTGGTTTCCTTTCTCCCATTCCATCATTCTGTACGGACTTTGAGTAAGAACAGTCATTACTAATGATCATTATCAGCAAATATTAAGCCTTTTGAGCAAACAGAGATCTGATCCATCCTTTCTAGGTGCAGATAATTTACCTTGGGAGACACAATGTTTATATAAACTGAACAATTCAAAATACCCTATAGTTTCCAAGGTAGTAACTCTCAGGTACTCTTGGGGAAAGAAAGTTCAAAACTGCTGGTCCAGAAGCAGTGGCAGGATGCTATAGGAGGCAGGAGGGGAGATTAAAAGCAAGGAGAACCAATGGACACTATTGCAATAGCTCTGGAGCACAATCATAAGGCTGGAACTAGAAGTCAGTGGGAGATCTGGAAAGGACGGGGCAGCCGCAGACTTACAGTTCCCCCAGCCCTGGCAGGGTAGCTCGTTTGGTTAGAGTGTCATCCGGATACACCAAGGTTGCAGATTCTTTTTTTATTTTAAAGATTTTATTTATTTACTTTTAGAGAGAGGGAACAGAACGGAGAAAGACAGGAAGAGAAACATCAGTATGCAAGAGATCAGTTGCCTCTTGCACGCCCCCAACTGGAGGCCTGGCCTCCAACCCAGACACGTGCCCTGACTGGGAATCGAACCAGCAACCCTTTGGTTCACAGGTCAGCACTCAATCCACTGAGCCACACCAGCCAGGGCCAAGGTTACAGATTCAATTCCCAGTCGAGACACATACAGGAAACAACCAATGAATGCATAAATAAGAAGAACAACAAATCAATCTCTCTCTCTCTCTGAAATAAATAAATTAAAAAAAAAATTAGTTCCCCAAAATAAAAAAACTGTTTTCTAAAACAAATCTAGTTTTGCTACTTTTTTTTTTTTTTTAACAGAAATCAGGATCAGTTAACTTTCAGGGTATAAAGAAGACTTAACTCTGTTTTGTTTCTTAGACATTAAAAAAGAGACATATAGCTTCGTATCTTTAGAAATGTTATAGCTATCGGCAGCAAATTTATAAGCCTATTTAAAAACCTCAATAATAGCAACCATCTCTCACTGCTATTGCACTCTAAAGTCACAGAGCACTTTCACATCCAGGGCTAGTGTTATTATTTCTCATTTTGTAGTTGAAGAAATGAGACCAGAAATGCTAAGGGATCTGCCCAAGTCTGTGCAGCTGAGAAGTAAATGGCAAAGCTGAGAACCGACCCTCATACTCTTTTCCCTACACTGTTGCTGCATAAAATAAAAACAAGGTTGGTATATATTCATTTTTCAAAGACATTCATCCAAGTATTATTTCGTGCTCCCTATGTATCACTTACTGCAGATTCAATGAGTGCGGGGATACTGGTGGTAAGCTAGGACAATGTAGATAAGGAACATAGGCTAAGGATAATAAGTAGTTTTTGTCTAAAACTATTGCCTAAAAATTTCTACCATCATACATGGTAGAAATCTCCTTCATGGAGATTGTATCAAATAGGGGAATAGAATCTATCTGCAATTATCTAGGCTAACAGGGATGATTAAAATTAAAGTTCTGGCCCTGACCGGTGTGGCTCAGTTGGTTGAGTGTTGTTCCACAAAGAGAAAGGTCACCAGTTCAATTCTGGGTCAGGGCACAGCCCTATGTTATGGGTTCAGTCCCCAGTCGGGGTGCATATGAGAGGAAACTGATCAATCAATATTTCTCTCCCTCTTTTTCTCCCTCCCCTCTCATCTAAAAATAAATAAAAATATTTTTTAAAAAAGTAAAGTTCTGTATGGGTTTTCTGACCCATAGCCCATACGGGATAAGAAATTGCAAATATTCACTAATAAGGGGGAGGGGCAGGTGGAGTGGTAGGATGACAGAAATTCAAAGGACCAAAAAAAAAAAAAAAAAATTAAAATAAGCCCTAGCGGGTGCGAGTCAGTGGATTGAGTGCCACCTGCAAACCAAAGGATCACTGGTTCAATTCCCAGTCAGGGCACATGCCTAGGTTGCAGGTCAGGTCTCCAGCAGGGGGTGTGCAAGATGCAACCACACATTGATGTTTCTCTTCCTCTCTCCCTCCCTTCCTGTCTCTAAAAATAAATAATCTTAAAAAACAAAATAAAATAAAATAAACGACAGAGACAAAGCAAGCTTTCAATACATTTTAGGCAATATGAATACCCAACATGTTTCTACTCACAGTTGTTCACATGGACACAAAACTGCCTAATTCCATTCGAATCCGTGAAAATCCTTGAAGGAAATGGGGAATTACTCCTGAAGATAAGAGAGTTGTCCACACACACCCAACTTGAAGACCTATGAGGCGACAGGATAGAGAATAGACACATTTATAAGTGCAGGGTTAGGTCCAAAGGAGGTTGCCCCATGCATGTCGGTCAGATGCCAAAGAGAAAACTCCTTGGGCAGCCGCAGGACAACACGAAGGTGCTACTTTATTGGATAGCCCTGTTCTAAAGGATCTGAAGAGAAACGTCATTCTTGGGAAAAACCAAGATAATTCCACTTACAGGAGTGGAAATGGGGGAGGAAAGCAGAAAGAGGAACTCTCCCCACTTGCAAATATTACCTGTTCTAGGGCCCCAATTTCCCTTAGGATTCAACTTGCGCAGCACAGCTCACCTCACGCTGCCTGGAAGGCAGAAGGAGAAAACTGTTCTGGGATGGATTAGATAGCAGTCTCTGTCGCAGCAGCAGTTAATATCGCAGGTACCAGGCGTCAAGTCACAGATACAGATTGGTAAGACTATGAAAGTGCAACATAGAGCAGAGAGAGAGGGATGAGGATCTCTAAATTCTTCCAAGTGCGAACTCCCCTCTCCTGACAGCTCCCAAATCCTCACGTTGCAGCAATTCACTTTGTTCACAGACTTTTACATCTAAGTCTGCAGTTTCCATCCCCGTGTCTCCTTCCCTCACCTGGGAAAAGGTCCATGGTCCTATTTTCAGGCTCTGAAGGGGTCACGACAGTAGGGCCGACCATAGAGGTCCCAGGCACGGCCCTAGGAGTTCCAGTTCCCTCCGAAGAGGTCTGAAGGGTCCCGCCCTGAGTCCCTGGCCCCAAGTCCGAAGAGGTGGACATTGCCCCTGACGGAGAGGGAGAGGGCTGAGGACGGACGCTCTCGGGTATCATCAGGAAGAGCACCTGCAGGAGCACGAGCGACAAGGCGCACATGAGGCAGTCGAAACCCCCCAGGCTTTAAAGTGGGGTTTTGACGGTCGCCAGACGCGTCGCTAGAGACTGTAGGGGGATGGGGGAGGAGTCGCAGAGAGTCTACGTAATCCGTTTGCATCGGCTCATTGGTTCATGTCAAGGGCTGAGAAGCCTTCAGCCAATAGAGAGCGGCGTTGTTACACACTTTCAGCAACGTTTAGTCTGCGCCCTCCTTCTTAGACCAGGCGGGGCACTGCCTCCGTCGCTTGGCAACAGCCAAACTGACGAAGAAGCCCTTGCTCCTTCTCTCCGCTAGGTGACAGTACAAGTTCAGCGGTAGGCCGCGCAGACATCTCTCGGCCTAGAGGACTGAGTCCTTTTGAGGGAGGGAAACCTGAGTCTGGAACTAGAATTGCATTATCTTTTCCCTACGGATTCTAAGCAAAGATAACCTCGAGGAAAGAAAATACGTCAAAGATTACATACCTTAAAAAAAAAAAAAAAGAGTCTCATCTAAATAGTGTACGAGGTGGGGCGGGGGGCGTATTAGAAAGATTCAGCTCCTTAAATTTTAACATTGAGAAATTACAAAAATAGTTTAACCTCAATAAATGTATGAAATCACTAGAGAAGGGGGCTGAGAAATAGAGTAGGGGACAATGTGAGAGGATAGAGAATGAGGATAGAAAAGAGAGATATTTTCTAGGAGATGAAGAGAAAATAAGATTCAAGAATGGAAATAGCTGAGGGATGGTGAAAAAAAGGTACTTTTTTGCTATTATAAAGCACCACTTTTTGTAGCCCTCTTTGGGAAATTTTGGGTTTTCCCATGAGTGGCGTGTCTCTTCTGATTTCCTAGAGCAACACTGTCCAATAGAACTTCCTGCAATGTTGGAAATGTTCTATATCTGCACTTTCAATATAGTGGCTACAGGCCATATGTTGCTTCTGTGCACTTGAAATGTGGTTAAACTAACAGAGGAGCTGAACTTAAAAAATTTAATTCGAAGTTAAATAACTACTTGTGACTAGCAGCCACCATATTGGATAGTACAACTCTAGATGATCAAAATTTGCTCTAGTTAGACCCACTGTCTTTCTCAGTCTAACGGTTCTTGCGTTTGGATTATTTCCATTGCTTGGTTTGGGGACACAGATTAAGCTCTGGTAAGAGTTATCTTAAATCTAGTACACTTACAGCCGTCGCTGAGAAGAAGGCCTAAGAACGACATGTCCCTGCCAGCGGGAGAGGCAGGGCACCTGTGGCGCTGTTTTTCTGAGTACAGGGGGCCTGGAGGCTGGCTGAGAACGAGGGTCGGCGGAGGCTGCCGCTGCTTTGGTGGCCGCCAAGCTGGGGGCCCCGGGCGGTTGAGGAAGCCGCTGTGGGGCTCCTGCGACGACTGCTGCTGCTGTTGTCGTCCTGCGGGCCGGGGCTCGGCGTGGTTGGCTTGGTGGGAGCCAGGCTGCCTGAGACCGTTATTTGGGCCGTCAACGCGGACGGCGCAGCGCAGGTGGACATGCGCGGCATCCACTTCCGCAAGGACTCTTTGGGAGGCCGAGCCTCTCCCTAGGGCATGAAACGGCCAATCCTCCCTACCAGTCCCGAAGACCAGATCCTGTATCAAACAGAGCGGTACAATGAGGAGACCTTTGGCAATGAAGTGCCCAACAAGGGTGTTGAAATTTGTCAAGGTCTGCTTTGCACAGTCCCAGAAGGTATTTGATCTGTGATTGAATGTTGTGGTGAAGGACTTGGATAGCTTTGATAGCGTTGGGCACAGCACAGCTCGTGATGAAATCATCCCAATGACCATTGGAAAAGCAAAGCTGAGCGTCTAGGGAGAGGTGTCCACCTTCACAGAGAAACTCGACATTGAATTTGTCAAGGGGTACTATGACAGTCCCAGAGCCTGTGCATTCTACGTCATGGTTGGGTCAGTGGATGATGGACCAAAGCTGCAGCCTAATCCAGGATTGGAGAAGAAAGAAGGGGAAGAAGAAGAAGACAATGAAGGATCTAAGCTCAAAAGACAGACCAATAAGAATCAGATGCAGTCAGGCCCCTGCACGCCCAACCCCTATGCCTCTGTCATCAGCAGCAGCCTCAGGTTTCCCATCCCGGTGGCCTTCGAAGTCTTCATTCCAACCCACTTCTGCCTCTGCCGGTGGTGAAAACAAATTGCCACCCTGAATAGGGTGAAGGGGTGTGGGAAAGTAGCTTTGAAAGTGTTGGTTGGTTTCTACATTTTTCATGGTGAACAACACAAACAAACTAAACACACACACACACACACACACACACCCCTTAAAAGAGATTAAAAAGAGGCAGAGTAAAGAGAGAGCAGCCCTCCTTCACCACCTTGTCCCAAACCTGCTTCAGTCATAGTCCTCTCTTTGTGGCTGGCCCTCAGCCATTTCTTTCCTCTCTAGGGGATCTCGGGTAAACTGGGTCTGATCTGTTCAAGGATCCTCATCTGTATAGCTAGTGGAAAGGACTCTGAACTTGGAACAGACCCCTTTTTTTAAGATTTGAAATTAACAGAAGGGAAAGGGTCATCTTATTACCTGAGAAGACCAGTGCTGGGAATTGGGTATGTTCTGAAGTTACGTTCAGACACATTTCCAGATGTCCTGGGATTGAGAGTACGTGTGGTTTCTGTGTGTGTAAAGATGTATAACTTGTATGATAAAGAAGAAAACAGAAGCAGAGGGCTTTAAAAAAAGGAAAAGTAGATACGTTCTAACTTGGAAGCCTTTCTGATTTTATTCCATTGGTGGTTCCACCTTACTGTTTGACCTGTCTTCCTGATATGGGCCAGTTAGAGGACTGTCTGGTATCCAAGACAATTAGTCTATGACAGGTCCTCAAATTGCCTCTGAATTACTACCACAAATAATTTTGATTTCAGCGCCTTTTGGGAACTTGATTCCTTGTCCCTTTTTTAAAATTTCTTCATCTGGCTCATTTGAATTCTCTCTCAACCATCTCACTAAATTATTTCCAAGAAAGGAAGAAGACATGAGGACTTAGGATTCCCTCTGCTTGAATGTCTTATCATCTACCACTTCATCTTGATGGTACCTCCCTCCCGGAATCTCTGAGCCAGCAGCCAGGGAGACCTGACCCAGCACATCTTTGACTGGCCCCTTTGTAGGGTCTTGCTGCCAGGGGACAGAGATGCTTTCCAGCCTGCAGCAGCAGAACACTTGACCTCAAGCATGTCTTCTGAGTTTTGGATTAGAAAAGACTTAAGTTAACATAATTTAGGAGCAACCTCAGCGACTTGAGCCCTACTAAGTGACTGACCACTGTTTAGAGGGCCTAGTATATGATGTTCATTTATTTCTGTGTCCTTTTATGTCACGGTTCAGCCAGTTTGGAGTTATGCCTAGAGCTGTCCCAAGGAAGTGGACTGATTGTCACTATCTGGTTGAGGAACACTGCTTACTGATCTTAATAGTATGCCCTGCTGTCCTTTCATTTTCCCATCCAAGTAGCAGTCAGGTTCTTGGTGTGACAGGGCTGAAAGATTTCCAGTCAGCCATAGTCTTGGCAGCTCTGAACCAACCTTAGCATGAAATTATCTATCTTGAATTCCCTGGAAAACTTTCTGCAGGAAATGAAGCTTCCCTGTTTCCCTCTGCTGGTCACTGTCATCTTTTTCCGAGCTACAGGGAGTTTCATGGATGGAAGGCAGTAGGATTGGCTTCTGCTTGGGCTGGAGCAGCAAAGAATCTCAGATCAGGGCAATTTTTTAAAAAGGATGTTTAATTTTGATTTTGTCTTTTTGGATATGTCTTTAAAGAGCTTCACCTATTTGAACCACTTATTATGTGACAAAGCGAGTAGCCCTTGGGCTCACATCTTGGATTTTGGCTTTTAATAAGATACTTTAGGCCAGAATTTCATTCTTTGACAGTTGTAGCCCTTTATTTTAGGTATGACTTTGGCCTTAGTACCAGGGCATTGAGTCAGGCAGTTGGTTAGTTGAGGTCTAAGGCTGCAATTGGGAATTTGGAGTGCTGTGCAAAGCTCCCTGCTTTAAAGAATGACTCCCTGTAGCCTTGGCCTTGGGACTCCCTGCCTGGGGGAGTGGACATCCTGACTATTAATTGAGCTTCTGACAGTGGCTTTGGCTCCTATTCCATCACAACTCCCCAGAGTTGTAGGCTACTGCCAGTACAGTTGACAACAGGAGGAAGGAAAACTTGCTGCCTCCATTCTGCCTTGTTAGTTTGTCTGGGTCTCACTGTGGAAGGAGGGGTCTCCACCTCCTCACCTCAACACACCCTTCAGTGACTCAGAGTCTCAGAAGGAAACCCTGGTCTCTGGGACCATTTCCTAGTGATACTGTAAGCCAAGCAGTTCTGCTTCTGCCTCTGTTTTCAAGCTCACCCTTTTCCCCTGAACTCGGGGATAGGGATGGGCACTTTTCTTTTTGGTTGTGTCTGAAAGGAACGAACAGCTTCCTGTGGCTGATAAAAACAAAGGGGAAATGAGGTAACAGGAGGAAATGGTGGAGGCTGGGCTAGAGTCCCCTGGACCAAGGGCTGGTCACAGCTAGCTCATGATGCTGACCTTGAAAGCTTTTTTTTTTTCCTCCTCCAAGATGATATAGGTACATGAAGTTTAGATTGAAGGGATGGGATGGGACACTCTTAATTTTTATTTTTTTTATTTTTTTAAATTTTATTTTAATTTATTTTTTCAAATACATTTGTCTCTGCCTACCCCCCACCACTTTCCCTTGCCCCCTCCCTCCTTCCCTCCCTCAGCTCTTCCCCTTTGGTTTTGTCCATGAGTCCTTGCTATATGTTCCTTGACTTGCCCCTTCCCTTCCTTGTCCCCGCCCCCCCTCCCTCCTTCCCTCTTGTCTCTGTTGTTTTCTTTTCCTTTCAGTGTTGCTGGTCTTATTTTCCTTGCATCTTTGTATTGTTGATTAGGTTCCACTTATAGGTGAGATCATATGGTATTTGTCTTTCGCCCCCTGGCTTATTTCACTTAGCATAATGCTCTCCAG